TTTTTTTTTTTTTTTTTGCGTTTGTTTCCTCTTGGCGACGGAAGTCTGAGGCGGCGAGGAGTGGGTCCCCAGGGCCCTGGCAGGGTGAGGGCCGCGCCGTCCTCCCGGGCCCTCCCAGGAGGGGCGGATGGCAGTGGGGCGCGCGCCGGGCTGGTCAGACGTAATACTCCTTGTCTTTGTTCTTCTTGGCCTTGCTGGGCGTCTTGGGGGCGGCCGGGGCCTTCTCCTTCACCACGGCGCCATTGCTCTGGGCCGAGTTACTGATGTAGTTCCGGCTCTGGTCCACCTGGTAGGAGCCCTCGTCGCGGTTGCGGTACTTGTACATGGCGTACAGCAGGATGAGGATGCACAGCGCCGCCGCCGCCACGATGCCCACCACCATGCCCGTGGTGCTGCTCGACTCCCGGATCACCTCCACCGCGCCCGGCGGCCCGCGCTCCCCGGGCCCCGTGGGGTTGGCTGTGGGGAGATGGGGGAAGCCCGGGGCCGAGGTCACGCCGGGGCGCAGGGGCGGGGGCCTCCGCGGCTCGAAGGACGTGGGGGCCCCGGGCCCCAGGGGCGGGTTCTCCAGCAAGGGCTGCAGCGGGTCTCGGTGGTTCATTTTGCCCGCCGGCAGGTTGGGGGCCAGGGCGGAGGGCGCGAGCAGCACCCCGGGGGCGCCCGTGGCCCCATCTGTCCTGAGGTTGGGCCGGGGAGCGGGCTTGCGGGGCGACAGCAGGGTGGTGCGGTCCGTGACCAGGGGGAAGGTGGTGTAAAAGTCCTCGTCGTCCGTGGGGGGGAGGCTGGAGTCAAAGACCTCCCCGGAGGCAAAGCCCGAGGCCTCCAGGGGCTCCTCACAGTCGCTGTCGTCCCGCTCGGCCTGGCACGGGCCCCCGGCGGCCGGGCGGCGCGCCGCGGGCGGGGGCAGGGTGTCCTGGGTGGCGCCCACGCCCGTGAGGAAGGGGTAGAAGGTGGGGGGCGGGGGCACGAAGGGGGAGCGGGTGGCCACGGGAGGGGGGTCTAAGGAGTCCTCCGTGATAATGGGCAATATTAACTCTCCTCCTAGAACAAGAGACAGAAGAGAAAAGAGGGGGCGTCAGCGGGGGCGCGCGGTGCAGGCGGCCGGCACAGAGAGAGAACAAACAGCCTCACACGCCCAAATCGGTTCCAATTGGCTTTGGCGGAGACTAGAGCGGGCCGGGCCCGCCCGCCAGCCGGCCGAGCCCTGCGCTTTAAGCGGGCAGCGGCCCGGGTGCCCTGGGCACCCCACGCACGGGCTCTCTGGGTTTTTGGTCTTTGGTTTGTCTTAAGAAACCAAAAGGAACAGAAAAGAAAGCAAATTGAAAGGAAACGGAAAAAAAAAAAGAAAAAAGAAAAAAAACTCTACTGATTTTAAGGTTTTAAAAACATACAACAGCAGCATTTAAACAAACCTAACGACAATATTTTTTAGGGTTTTTTTTTCT